TACAATGGATACTTTTCTAAAATTTGGATGTGAAAACTAAAGCATGCCAAACATACTTCTCTTTATTTTGGCTTTTTCCATGCATACAAATGCCAAATGCTCTCTCAGAAGGTAAAATTTAGTTTAAATCAAGATAGCTTACTTTAGATTTTAAGAGAAATCTAAATTATCCAAAATGGAACCAGTCAAATTTGTTTGGAACTGTACATTATGATGGTTTTCTATTCCAATGGATGTTTTTCCAAAATTGGGATGTAAAATATTAGCTGAAATCATGGTAGTTTACTTTAGATTTCAAGAGAAATCGAAATGATCAAATATGGAACCGGTCAAATTTGGTTGGAACTGCACATTATGATGTTTTTCCTATTCCAATGGATACTTTTCTAAAATTGGGATGTGAAAACTAAAGCATGCAATACATAATTCTCTTTATTTTGGCTTTGTCCATGCATACAAATGCTCTCTCAGAAGGTAAATTCGAGTTAAAATCGTGATAGATTACTTTGGATTTGAAGAGAAATCTAAATGATCAAATATGGATCCAGTCAAATTTGGTTGGAACTGCCCATTAAGATGATTTTTCTATTCCAATGAATGCTTTTCTAAAATTGGGATGTGCAAACTAAAGCATGCAAAACATAATTCTCTTCATTTTGGCTTTGTCCATGCATACAAATGCCAAATGCTCTCTCAGAAGTTAAATTCGAGTTGAAATCGTGATAATTTACTTTAGATTTTAAGAGAAATCTAAATGATCAAAGATGGATCCAGTCAAATTTGGTTGGAGATGCATATTATGATGGTTTTCCTACTCAAATTGATGTTTATTAGCTGTTTAACTAAAGCATGCAAAACATAATTCTATTTATTTTGGTTTTGTCCATGCATACAAATGCTCTTTCAGAAGGTAAAATTGAGTTGAAATCGTGATAGCTTTCTAAAAAAAAGGAGTATTATCTAATTTAATCTAAATAAAAGTGCTATGAGGTGCTCAAACTTTCATCTCTCTCTTCAAATCAATCAAAATTAGCAGTAGTAGTTAGCATCTTATTCCTTCTATCTATCTATCTATCTATCTATCTATCTATCTATCTATCTATCTATTTATTTATTTATACGTCTGCTGTTTGTCCCGCTCAGTAACCTTGTCGACAAAAATCCGACGTCCTCCTCCTCATCGCCGTTGCCGGGGAAACCGTGCGTTGAGATGAGAACCAGGTTGTTGAACCTCAGGTGAGGGCTATAAGGGGAAAAACAACACCGGGTAATATGAGTGTTTTTTTTTATTAACACAATGCATGGAGAAGGTCTTCATCCTGTTGGGAAGGGATAAATTACTCTTTATTCTGAGCACTGAAGTAGCTTTTCTACTTCCAGCCTCAACTGATTTGTCCAATAATAATGATAATAATAATAGTGAGGGCCTCTATTCTTTCAGGGGTTTACAATAGCTGAACTCAGGGTCACACATGGGCAGCTATTGAATCTATCTGGGGTTTTTTTATTTAAAAAATATGTTTTTGTTTGTTTCTCTGTGTGTCATAGAGACATTCG